TGTCTCAGGAGAGGGCCATGCAGTTCCCTGTCTCAGGAGAGAGCCATGCAGTTCCCTGTCTCAGGAGAGAGCCAGGCAGTTTCCTGTCTTAGGCGAGGGCCATGCAGTTCCCTGTCTCAGGAGAGGGCCATGCAGTTCCCTGTCTCAGAAGAACTTACTGCAAGTTGCCTGTGAATTACACCTCTTCCCTCAGCTGCTCAGGTCTCTGCTTAAAGCTTTTTGTCTCCCATGAGACTTTGCAGAGAGCCACTCCATCCTCCAGCCAGGACTATTTCTTCTCCCCCAAATGACTCCTGTGACACCCACGTCTCTCTTCCCATAGAAAGTACCACCAGGTCTGGAGAGACCGCACAATGAACAAAGTGCTTACCACACAAGCACCAGACCTGAGTTCAATCCCTAGAACCCATACTAAAAGGGCCAGGTATGCTAGCTCTCTTTGGAATGCCAGAGCGCTAGGGAGGCAGGGGCAGACAGGCTCCTGGGACTTAGCAGTCGGCCAGCCTAGCCTACTCAGTGAGTTCCAGGCCAGTGAGAAACACTTTCAAAAAAAGAAAAGAAAAGAATTAAAGAAGGATGGCATCTGCAGAATACCAGAGGTGTCCTCTGGTCTCTACACATATCCATACTGTGTACACATACATGCACCTCCACACGCAGACATATACCTCCCCACACATACATATACCTCACCTCCACTCTCTGTGCTACTGTAGACAGAGACTGTACTTTCATTTCCTGGCCCTCAGACCCAAATAATTGCACAGAAACTATTAATGACAACACTGTTTGCCAATGATCTAGGCATATTTTTAGCTAGCTCTTACATCTTAAATTAACCCATTTCTATAAACCTATGTATTGTCACGAGGCTGTGGCTTGCCTGTAATGTTCTGATGTCCTTCTCCTTTGATGGCTACATGGCATCTCTTTGATTCCTCCTACTCTTTCTCTACATCTCTGTTCAGATTTCCCACCTGGCTTTACTCTGCTAAGTCATTGGCCGAAACAACTTTATTCATCAACCAATAAAAGCAGCACATATACAGCAGGACATCATGCCAGCGTGCCTCTTGGAGACCAACTCAGGTTTTGTTGCTTACACCTCGGATGTTTTCCCAGTCAGGCACTCTCCCAAGCTCCAGATACTTAAGCCATCGTCCCATACTACCAGTATGGGAAATGTTTGCACCCATTGTGCTTCATGATCCTCACAGATGAGAATATTTGTGGCTTAGAGATGTTACTTTACCCAGGATTACCTGATGGGACTAAGCCAAGGTGGAAGGATTCCTGAGAGTTCAAAGCCAATCTGGATGACGCAGTGAGTGCCAGACTAGCCAGGGCTATCTAGAAAAAGATGTCCTAAAAAAAATCTCTTAAAAAGTGAAACACACAGAATCAAAAGTTGAAAGGAAGGTGTTTTGATAGATGAGTACTTGTTTTTCATTGTTGCTAATAATGTTTTAGTAAATATTAATTGAGGAATTGTAACATCACCATTGGGGCCTATTCTTTATTTAATATAAGCCTTGTGGGTGCCAAACAGTGTAGATCAGTGGTTCTTAACCCTCCTAAACACTGACCCTTTAACATAGTTCCTCATGCTGTGGCGATCCCCAACCATAAAATTATTTTCATTGCTACTTCATAACTGTAATTTTACTACTGTTATGAATTGTAATGTAAATATCTGTGTTTTCAGATGGTCTTAGGTGACCATTATGAAAGAGTTGTTCGACTCCAAAGGGTGGGCACCCTTAGGTTGAGAACCACTGGTGCAGATTTGTTTGTGCAATGGAGAGTGAAGCTAGAGCATGTGGCTGCTGTGGGAAATCCTGCTGGGTTGCAGTGGTCCAGCCAGAGGCTCGGCAAGCGATAAATCAACTCTTCATACTTTTGCCTTTAATATTAAATGCTCATTTAGTACTGATGGCCTGGTGGCATATTGGATCTTAGAGGAGGGGTGGAGCCTTTCTCTATCTCTGTACCCTTGACTTCCAGATGCCACTATGTTCTTATCCCTAACCCCACAGAGGGGTTTTTTGGAGGAGGGGATGGGACAGTGTTTTGTACCCCACAGTGATGGAGGCCTCAAAAAGGTGGGGAATTGCTGCATAATTGAACTGCCTTCAGGTTTAAGCACTAAAACATACTCAAAAGATGCAGTGATTCAGGAATGTTCAGAATAATGGCATTGTTGATTAGAAACCAGGACTCTGGGAACTTAAATTCTTGTGTGTGTGTGTGTGTGTGTGTGTGTGTGTACACTTGTGCACAGTCTTAGGTGTTATTCCTCAGGTACTGTACCACTATTTTGTAGACAAGGTTGCACACTGGCTTTGGAACTCACTGAGTGTCCACATTAGGTTGGCTGGCCAGGGAGTCCCAGGGCTCCTCCTTTCCCCACCTCCCCAACACTAGGATTACAAGTGCTCACCCACCTGGCTTTTTGCTAAAGTGTATATCCAGGGGGTGAAATTAGCTCCCATGCTTGATGACAAGCGCTCTACTGGCTTAGCCATTGCTTCAGTCCTGGAACCTCTTGTTTTTCCTCTGACTTGCCATCCACATATTTTTTCCCCTCTATCATGTTTGTCTTAGCTAGGGTTTCTGTTACTGTGAAGAGATACTATGACCATGGCAACTTTTATAAAGGAAAAACATTTCATTGGGGTGGCTTACAGTTTTAGAGGTTTAGTCCATTATCAACATGGCGATGTGCAAGACAGACATGGTGCTGGCTAGGTAGCTGAGAGTTGCAGGCAACAGGAAGTGAACTGCCTCACTAGGCATGGCTTGAGCATATATGAGACCTCAAAGCCTGCCTCCACAGTGACACACTTCCTGAAACAAGACCACACCTACTCCAACAAGGCCACAACTCCTAATGATGCCACTCTCTTTGGAGGCCATTTTCTTTCAAGCCACCATAGTGTTCCATGATCCTCACAGAAGACAAGAATATTTCTCATTTAGAGATATTAGCTTGCCTAGGATCATCCAGGTGGAAATGGCAGCATTACGATCCATGCCTATCCATGCCTATCCATGCCTATCCATGCCTATCCATGCCTATCCATGCCTAGATGTAGCTGCAGTCAGGGCTTCATGCTGCCTTTTATTGCCTCTGGGCCAGGCCAAAACAAACAAACAGACAGACAGACAGACAGACAAAAATCTGTATCTTTCTTTTACTCGATACAAGTTCTAATCAGGGTTGGTGACAGTGATGCTTAAGGTAGCTAACCTCCTATGATACCTTATTCTGCTACAAGTGGGCAGAATAAGGGCTCTAAAGCAAGCCTGAGCTATGGGGAGAGGGAGCTCCTGGGCCAGCTAGAAACCCCCCTTCATGCTGATCTTGTTACTTTGCTAACCAGCACATGCTGGCATATGCTGTGTTCTGTGTGAGGGTGGTGGCCATCCTACTCAGCTGCCTCCACACCTTTGAGCATACTTTCATTGTTATTCCCACTTTACAGAAGGGAGACTGAGGCTCCCAGAAGCTGTCTCGGAGCTACAAGTCCTGCCGGAGGCTAGTAGGCCTGGGATTTCACCCCACTTCTGCCCCATGTCATGGCCTTCCCCAGCGTGGGACTGCTTCCTCTTCCCTTTGTGTCTTCTCTGTGTCTGTCTCAGGACCTGGGGTGGAACGACCTCTCCCTTCCAGGAATGAGCTGGTGCTGCCAACTTCCTCTAGGTTCTGCCAGGACCATACTCACAGACCTGCCTGTTGCTCTTTTTCTTTCCTAGTGCGCTGGCCACCATCCTGCTGCTCGGTTCTCAGCTTGTTTGCCCACAGTCCTCTACTGAACACAGAAAGGTAAGTCTTGGCCACTCAGAGCCATTGCGCTTCTCTGCCAGAGGGGGCGTGGTCACCGTGGCCACTTCCGTTATCCTTGTTTTAGCTGGGGGTTAGTCCCAGCTGATTCCGAGTAGAAGCCCCATTTCTGGAATATTCGCAGCCTTGTCATTTTTTCCGTAAGTCAGATAAGAAGCCGGTGCGCCGAGTCAGTCTCTGAGCAGGGCTGACTTTGCAGCCTGTGTCACTAGAGACCAGTGGGAAAGCCCTGCAAAGGCTTGTGGGCAGAGGCCCCGCTCAGGAGAGGGGAGGGTTTGACAGAGCTGGTCCCTGTGTAAGCACACCTGCAAGGCCATAGGCAGAGGAAGACTGGAAAAGCAGAAGTGATGTGAGAGGAACCCCTCTCTCTGAGATACGGAGCTGTAGTCACTGATGGAGGGGTCCAGCCTCTACTGCCAGTGAGGGCTCTGGGAAGGAAGAACATGGCCTTTTGACCTCCCACGGTGACTCCAGTTGATGCTTCCCTTTGAATTAGTCTAGGCCAACGGTTCTCCACTTGGAGGTTGAACAACCCTTTCACAGGCATTGAATGTCAAATATCCTGCATATCAGATACCTACGTTATGATTTATAACAGTAGCAAAATTACCGTTATGAAGTAGCAACAAAATAATTTTACGGTTGGGGGTCATCACAACTTAATGAACTGTATTAAAGGGTTAAAGCATTAGGAAGGTTGAGAACCACTGATCTAGAGAATTGACAAGAGCCATGGTTCAGTCCCCAGAGGCTAGCTTTCTAGGCCCACAGTACGTGAAGAACTCATTTCCCTCAAGTTCCACCTACCTCATGTAGAACTTTGCCCTGGGACATTAGCTGGCGTGGTGCCGCCTGGCCACGGAGCAGGGGCTCTGTCAGTGTTTCCTGAGAAGTAGACACGTGACGCTTGGCCAAAGTAACTCAAGTCCAGTTCTGCTCCCTGGGTCTCGAGAGGAGAGTATTGAAGTGGACTTGAGTGGGTTCGGTCCTTGGCTAAGAGAGGGTTTTCACGAGAAGTTCCGAAGCAGAAATGGACTGAGAGGAACACGTGCAAAGGGTTCATTCGCCCCCGAGCAGTGTTTGCTGTTCTCCTCTGATCTATTTAATTTCTTTCTGATCTGGGAATTACGTTCTGTTTTTCTGAACCAGATAGAAGTCTCTATAGCATCTTGTTCCCCGCTGGCAAGACAGCCCTGTGAATGTGGTTCTCACACACGGCTGTAACTCTGGAGTAGAGCCTGGCTTAGTTAGGTGCTCAATGTGGTACTTGTTGAATGACGAACGGATGGAATGACTGGGACCTGACCAAGGTCCAAACATCATATTGCCAGATTGATTTGGAAATTTATAGCCTCTCACTCTGTTGTCCCATCCCCAGTCATAATTTTAATAAGCAGAAGAATGTAAAAAAAGTATTATTGTGCTCTCAGTTATTAATACTTGGTATTATTGGGACTAATAGTTGACTTGCCCTAATGGAGTTCTTTTTGTTCTTATTGATGCCCAAATATGCAATCACAGTTAAATTATTTTATAAATAACCCAATTTTTTTTTTTTTTTTGCTGTCTCTCTTTGTCTTTCAAGATAACCTGAATGATATATTGAGCCTCAGGGTAAAATGTTCCCAAATAGATGTTATCTTCATTTTTCTTTTTAAAATATTATTTTATTAAATTTCATTTAATGTGAGTCAAACTGAGTCAAACTGACATCAGAGAGTCTTCACCCAGCAACTGATGGAGGCAGATGCTGAGACCCACAGCCAAACATTAGTCAGAGCTTGGGGAAGGGGAAGAAGGATTGTAGGAGCCAGAGGCATCAAAGGCACCACAAGAAAACCCTCAGAACCCACTATCCTGGACTCATAGGAGCTCACAGATACCAAACAGATAGCCAGGAAGCCTGCATGGGACTGACCTCAGCCCTCTTTGTATGCTACAACTGTGTAGCTTGGTATTCTTTTGAGACTCCTAACTGTGAGAGCAGGCGCTGCCTCTGACTCAGTTGCCTGCTTTTGGGACCCTTCCCTCCTACCAGATTGCCTCATCCAGGTTTAATAGAAGAGAGATGCCTAGTCTCACTGTAACTGACAGATATCCATGGGAGGCCAGCCTGCCCTGTATCTGAAGAGAAACAGAGGAGAAAGAGTGGATAGGGGGAGGGTAGGGGAAGAGGGAAGGTGATAGGGGAGGAACTGGGAGGAGAGGAGGGAGAAGAAACTTTGGTTGGGATGTAAAACAAAAAACAAATTCATTTTGTGTGTGTATGTGTGCACGTGAGTGCATGTGTGCATGCGAGTGCATGTTTGCATGTGTGTGTGTGCATGTGTGTGTTACACATGCCAAGGGGCACATGTGGAGATCAAAGGGCAATTTATGAGAGTCAGCTTTCTCCTTCCACTGTGTTGGTCATGGGGATTGAACTCAGGTTTATCAGCCTTGTAGAGAAAACCTTTACCTGCTGAGCCATCTTGCCCACCCCCTCATCTTTCTCAAAGGTTTTCTTTTTACTGATAATGGAAACAGAAAGGTTTATGAGGTGCTTTAGAATGCTGATTTTAGAACACTAAGCAAAACAGTATCATATCTTGGTATGTAGTACCTCATTGTCAAAATATTATTAAAAGCTTTGCAATTGAAGGCTAGGTTTAAACCCGCCTCCTGCCATTTGTAGATTTCTTCACTCAGGGGAAAGACATCTCAGAACAGTTGTTGCTCATAATAAACACATGTGTCTTCTTGCCATGAGGCCAAGAAAAGAAGGCACTCGGGCTTTCTTGGGTGGTAGGTTGCTTTTCATTGTTTTTTTAGGGCCTTGTGCAACTGTGGCTGTCATCCTGGGGATCCCCAAAAATCTGGCAGGAAAAGCAGGGCTGGCAGTAGTAGCATCCATCCACAGAGGCCTGCAAGAGGCAGACTAAGGAAATGCTTATTAACAGGGTCTGAAACCCTGTAAAGAGACAAGACTAAGGGAATGCTGGTTAACTGAGCCTGCAGCACTGTCTATAAGGAACCAAGACTAAGGACATGCTCATTAACAGGGCCTGCAACACTGTTCATAAAGAGTTGTGGAGAATACTTTAAGTTTTTCTGGACCACACTTTCTGTCACAATCATTTATCTCTGGCTGGTTCGGAGGCAGCCAGAGGCACTGTTTATATGAATACTCATGGCTGTGTGCCAGTAAAGCCTTATTTACAAAAGTAGGTGGTAAGCCGGATTTGGCTGGTGGGCCAAAGTTTGCTAACCTCTGCTCCAAACTCAGGATGTAAAAAAAGGAACTAGGGCTCAGGATATAGTCCATTCAGTGGGGTGCCTGAGTTCAATCCCTAGAAGTCATTTAAAAATCCAAAAGTGATGGCACACCTTTGTGATCCCACCTTTGGGAGATGGAGGTGGGGGGATGCCTGAGGCTCATTGACCAGCCATCATTGCCCACTTGGTGAGTTCCAGATCAGTTTCAAAAAAGAAAAAGTGGTAGATGGTGACTGAGAACAATGCCTGAGGTTTTCCTCTTACCTGCACACATGGCATACATGGGACATACATGTGCACGTGAATACACAGGAAAACACATATGTGTGCACATACACACATGTATTTTGGAATCTGAAGGTGGAAATAGTTTCTTACTGGGACTTAAAAGAACAGAAGGGAATTGGGAATCACATAGTTTTTGATTAAAATAAGATTTATAATTGCTATCCAGTTGCTTTCATTACATAAATACATTCATAACTGACTTCTAGCTGACCTATTGCTTTGTGATAAAATTGCTACTCTTGATTGTTTGCAGAGAATAGCAGAAAGGATTAGAAACCCATCTACGGTCAGTTCTGTAGGGACAGCATTATTAATTTGCACGTGTTATAGTGGAGTGTGTATATGGAAGCCGGCTACTCGAAGGCTCTCTTTTCTTCCTTCTTACTGTGCTGTGTCCAACTTTTGCATATGGAAGTGTTTCCACGACGTAAGTTATTCCAACCAAGAGACATAATTTGTAAATGCTGTCAAGTAAACTATGCACGTCTCCGCGTGCTTGGGTGAGTGGCTACATCTCTTTAGAACTGTCCTATGTAATAATAAAGGCTGGGGGGACCTGGTGCAGAGTGTAAGTAGCTCTTTCCAGATGTTTCTGTCCAGAAGGCCTCCTCTTCTGGCAGGATTAGCAACCCCACAGAGGACCACTCTCCCCGCTCACCCTCTAGTCTCGGAATTAATTGCTGATACTTGGCAGAAGGTGGTAGGTGTTTTTTTTTTCTTTAATTTTTAAAGCAGGGCCCAAGGCAAACTCTCTGTCCAGGAAAACTGTGAAATAATGCCATTTTATGTTAAATACATTGATTTGTGTGTGCATGGGGGACAAGTATTCCTGTGCGCTTACTTGTGTGTTACTCCTCATCCCCATCACCCTCATCATCCTCATCTACATCATCCTCGTCCTCACCCTCATCCCCATCCTCATCCCCATCCTCATCCCCATCCTCATCCACACCTTCCTCATCTACATAATCCTCATCTACATCATCCTCATCCTCGCCCTCATCCCCATCCTCCTCCACACCATCCTCACCCTCATCCCCATCCTTCTTCTCATCTTCATCTTTGAGACTTTGTCTGCCTGTTGCTGTTCTGGCTAAGTTGTCTGACCACTGGCCCCAGGATCCTACTGTCTCTAACTCCCCATCAGCAGGTTACAAACATGTGCCACCATGCCCAGCGTTTGACACAGGTGCTGGGTGCGTACTCGGGTCCTCTTGCTTGTGTGACAAGCACTTTACAGACTGAGCCATCTCCCAGCCCGAAGTACTGTATATCTCAGCTTCCAGATATGGAAATGTAATTAATTTTAATTGCTCTTGTTTCTTACGTGTATTTTTAAAATTCACATTTCTTGTTTGCTGTAGAAAACGTAGTAAGTGATGATGACTTTTGGAAGGAGGAAGTAAAACTCACTGCTAGGGCTGCTGGCCAAGGGGCCA